ATAGTAATAACTGATGATAGATACCATTCTGCTCACCGAAAGCCCGGTTTCTGTTGTTCCTGCTGCGTCCAGTCCCCGCGAAACGACCCTCCGCAAGTCAGCACGCAGGCGGCGTGTCTCCGCCGCCGAGAACTCGGCCGCGACCGAACAAGACCGCTAGGAACCTCGGCGTGTCTCGGCAAGGCTGGGCACGCTTCAATACCGCGTCTCACTGGATAAGCCGTTTAAAAAGGGCCACAGTGCGCAAGGATCAACAATTGGCAATGCCGTTTTATCCATAGCCAAGAGTCGAGACGAATATCTTATCTTGGTCAACGCTGCTACGGCGCAAATCACCTTCCTTTCCAGATGGCCTCCCCGCAAAATAATCCAACTGCTTCTCGCCCGCAACACCTCCTTGGCGGATGAGAACAATGGCCAGGTTGCTATCGCACCTTCCCGTCCCAGTCCCTGATGGCTGACCACACTCCTGGAGCCCAGTGCCCCGAGTGTCCCCCGCACCAACGGCTGATGGACGGTTGAGGTGGCGTCCCGTGGGTAAAGTACATCAAGAGGTGGGGCATAGCTCCCGAGTACATATTCCTGCGTGAGACCCCGAACCAAAACCTTGGGTTCTTCTCTTTTTATCGTGCTCGCGCGTGGAGGCTTCAACACAGGAAAAGAGACCACTCCTGACCTCTGCCACTTCGCCCACCGACAACACCCCAATATCCCCACATACTCCAGCATCATGGATACCAAGGAGCAGCAGGGGGCGACCACCATAGGGCGGACGCCCTCTGACAACACTCTGCCGGAGCCCACCGTCGATGACGAGTTCCGGAGAGACCCCAACCGCAAATGGTGGCACGGTATTCGGGAACCTGGCCATGCTCTCCAAATCGTGATTGCAGCCGTCCTGGCCATTGCCATCGGCATGGCTGTCACAACCACTGTCGACGATGTTCCCGACGCTGCTAGAGTCATTATCGCCATCCCCGGTACCCTCTGGTTGCGTGCTCTCAGAGCCGTCGGTATGTGATTCACGCCCCCTGTCCTAGCTGTTACCTACCTGTAATCTAACACATGGTAGTCCTCCCTTTGATCATCTGCGCCATGATCCTCGCCGTCCAGAAGTTGAAGGAGATGTCGTCCGGTGGTGGTGGCAAGCTGGCTCGGTGGGCCGTCGGATATTATGTTGCCACAACACTTCTGGCCATCGCCCACTCCACCATCGCCGTTGCTGTCGGCTGGGTTCGTCTAATGCAAGAGATGAGCCCAGAGGACCTCGATGTGTCCGAGAAGGATCAGGAGATGATCGCGGAAAGACAGAACGTCAAGATCCACGACGTCGTGGTGCAGATGTTCGAGTCCCTTATCCCGATCAACATCGTCAAGTCATTGGCGGAGGACGGCCTCCTGGCTGTGCTCATCACCTCGGTCATTATCGGATACCTCATCAAGCCAGGCTCGCCCATTGTCAGGGTCATCAAGGAATTCGAGGAGATTGTCACCATCATCATCACCTGGCTTGTCAAGGCCGCGCCTATCGGAGTTTTCTTCCTCATTCTCCCCAACCTGTTCCGTCTCAAGATCGAGATTATCGGTCAGAACCTGGGTGTCTTGATCGCGGCTTCGCTGGTTGGCATGTTCTTCCACCTCTTTGTCGTTCTGCCTGCCATCTACTTCGCCGTCCTCCGGAAGAACCCTTATGCCTACTGGATGACGAACTCCCCGGCATGGATTACCGCCTGGGGTACTGCTTCCAGTGCGGCTACCCTTTCTGTCACAATGAAGTGTGCCAGGCGCAACAGGATCCCCGACAGTCTGGCCAAGTTTGCCCTTCCTCTCGGCTGTCTGATCAACATGGATGGGTAAGTTTGCAGTTGTCTCCACCTGAGAGGAATTTTTTAGCTAACATTTTCATCACAGTACTGCCATCTACTTCCCCGCTGTCGTCGTGTTCCTCGCGGCTACCCAGGGCATCACCCTCAACGGTGCCGACTACATCATCATTGTCTTGCTCTCCACACTCGCCTCCATCGGTACTACACCTATTCCCAGCTCGTCTCTCGTCCTGACAGTCATGATCGCCAGCAGCGTCAACGTTCCCATCACAGGAATGTATGCCGTTGTCGTTGCTATCGATTGGTTCCTCGACCGCTTCAGAACCGCTGTCAACGTCAGCGGTGATCTCTTCGCTGCTCCCATTCTGCAGAAGGTCACGAAGATGGAGTTTGAGGAAGAAATCTCTGATGAGGAAGGTCGGGTTGGCGTTGTCTAAAGAGATGATAGTATTTAGCGGGGAGTCGGCGTTGGTTGTCTATTTTCTTGATTATATGTTTCAGTGATACCATGGGTCTGATGACAGCCTGTTTTTGGAATATTCAACACAGTTTTTTGATCATCATGTTTGCCTCGTTTCGATTTGTTATTGTTTTTTGACAGAAACACACCAAGTGATGCTTTTGTTCCCAACCGTTCTCTGCACCCTACGCATCATTCATAAGCTTAACCGGCAACGGCTTTACTGCATCGATGGGGCGCAAGTCATGCCCCCAGGCCATGTGCTGCTTCCTCTGGAATTTCCCCGCATACGCATCCCGCGATTCCCGAATCGACTCGAGACCTTTCGCCAGGACATCTTTTTGGAAGCTGTCAAGGCTTGCTTGAAGAGCAGGGAAATCGTTGTTGTCTGCGCCAGCGAGGACTTTGCTGAGCTGCACCGCGTCTCGGATGGCAAAGATGGCTCCTTCTCCTCTTACTATAGGCTGAAGTCAGCTGTTTTCCCCTGGTACCTAGCATGAAGTGTGCTTGTCAGGTGAGGAGGGGTTCGGCAGGTGCTCTTCGGGAGACTTGCCCGAGTGAGGAGAGAGATGTAGCGGGAAAAGGGGGAGACATTTACTAGGAGTAATAGGATGCGCCGCGTCCCCTATCAAAACCACCCTGTTCACCGCCGGCGGGTGTTCGATGAAGGCGTCCCACCATGCTGACCACTTTTTTTTTTGTTTCCAATCAGTCCCAACTTCCAACCTTTTGTGAAAGAAGGGTGTGTGTGACACACTTACAGCATTAGACTTTACGTCGGCAACCTCTGTTCTTTCGACGGTAACTCTTAGCTCGGGTTTGAGAGCCTGGACCTTTTGTTTGGCTCTCGCTAGGCGTTCGGCTTGGGATACGGTCTTGGACCAGTGGTTTAGGTCAGAGACGGCCAGGTCGTATTCTGTTAGGACCCAGTAGTACTGGCCTGATGTTTCATTGCCGTTTACTTTGACGCTGTTGAGGCCGCTGAAGAGCACGAAAGTGGGCTGGATGGCGATGAAGCAGGAGTGTCCGTTTTGGAGCTGGATTTGCATTTCGGGACTGGAGAGGGTAGTCTCGCCGGCGGTTACGGTTACTGGGAATTGTTGGAGGATGGAGTCATTGGGTTGGGCTAGGAAGTGGGGGCGTACTTGGAGAGTGTTAGTAATGGGAGAAGGGGGGGAAGGGCAGGGGCAGGGGGGAGAGTAGGTACCAGAGCTGAAGGTACCGTCTGCGCCAACGACTATATCACCAGTTGCGGTTGTGCCGTCTTCGAAGTGGACGGTGACGTTGTCGGGGGTTTCTTCGAACCGGATGGCTTTCTTGCCCCATTGTATGTCTACGCCGGTTGAGAGCAGAGATCGAAGTTTGAAGCGATTGGCGCGGATGCAAGGGGTCACGGGGGTGTCTTCGACCATGGCCATATTGCCGGTGGGGAAATAGAATATTACTTGCGAGGGTAGGTCGAGGGGCAGGAGGTGGCAGGTTGAGGAGAACGGGGGGAGGTCGTCTGGGAGGGAATTGTCGAAGAGGGCTTCTAGACTTTTTTGATTGTCAGCAACATTACCTGTGAGCTGGAGGGGAGGGGAAAAGGAGTGATTGTACTCGTAGAGACCGAGAGCATATCCAGGGCCTCGCGCAAGGGGGCCATCGTCTCGCTCGAAAATTTGGAAGGGGATGTTTTGCTTGCGCAGGGCTTGGGCAAGGGTCAGGCCGCCCATGCCGGCGCCAATCATGAGGACGTGCGGAGGAGCCATGGATTATCTTGTGTTGAATGTCGGTTTAAGGCGAGTTGTTGCGGTGGTGATGAACGCGCTGATGAGGTGGGAAGGGAGGCACGATACAAATAGGTATTTCTTGGCTCCTGATGGCAAGCGGCATATTGCTACCCCAATACCCCGATCCAGTCCCATGCTGTGATGGCCTGCGGCCTGCATGCAGTCAATCTATCTAAACCCCAAACGGGGTACTTTACCAGCCAGATCGTGCGATGGATGCGAGGAATGCAACATTATGCGGCTCTAACACCCAACGACAGGGACTACTGTATGCCATGATAGTGATGCCGTCCAGGGCTTTCAAGGCATGCAATGCGATGTGATGAGATAGCGCATGAAGGTAACCAGTCACAACAGCTTCATGCTACACTGGATGGCTCGGAGATCTCAGACACAAACTGCTAGCAGTGCTCCATGTGTATGGTGCCTACCTGCACAGAATTTCACCGAACATCCCGTCTTAACCCCTTGTTGTTCATAAGCGTCCGCCATCCGAAGCCCGGTGATTTGAAGTCTTTTGACATCAGCTCCCAAGTCCGTATATATTCTTCATAAGCATTAATCAACCATTATAAATCAATGGATAGTAACTCTTAGGTAAACCCCTTACAGTAGTTCTTACATCGCGATTTACCGGCAGTAGCGCCTTTCCGCGATTTTCTAAACTTGAAAATGCATTGAATCGAACCGTCTCGTCTCACACAACCAAGTAGCAACACAAGGAAATCACTTTCTCCGAGATTGAATCAATCTCTCGTCCTTTCTTATTTCATCTCTCATCATCTCCTAATTAGTTCCTCGTCCTTCTTGCTCAATCCCTCATCTTTTCTTAATTAACCTTTTGTTACTCCTGCTAAAAATCAGGTATTAATCTTTTCCCAAGATTCTTCTTTCCCTTTATAAAACTAAACTCAAACATCATGCAGTAGCAATTACTAGCCTGCCCGGCTAGCTCAATCGGTAGAGCGTGAGACTCTTATTCCAGAGTACTCCGGTTAATCTCAAGGTTGTGGGTTCGACCCCCACGTCGGGCTCAATTCCCGTCTTCGACGATTTCTTTTGCTTCTGCCTTCGAATTCACCATATTCCTCTCTCTCTTATTTTCGTTCATCTCTTTTTTTCCCTTTGTTTTTGCACACCTGTCCAGGCCAAATGCTTGGTGCTGCTCGATTCCAACCTCCTTGGTTGAGGCTGGGTCGACATTTCAACGAGGCCACTTCATGAAAAAGCAAGCGAGTGCTCCTATTCTTTTATTCAATTTTATCACCTTCAAAACAGTTTCGATCAAAGTGTGAAGTGCTGGGCTTTTCGTCAAGTCTTGACCTTTGTTCCCTGTTTTACGGTTAATAATAGGACCTCTTTGACTTTGAGTCCACTTTGTAAGAATGTCGGCGATGCTACTCGTGCTCTCTCCCCAGGGAGAATGGGGACGCAGAAAGTAATTTCGAAACAGACGAGTTTTTTTAGGGGAAATCGATTATAAAACAGTGATTAGGAAGAGGCACCTGTCAGAAAATTGTGATATCCTTCCATTCGAAGACCCCGTCGTCAAACCAATACAGATGAGCCACGTTTGATCCAAAAACCGCCTTTCCAACCCTGCGCAAGACATTGCCACCATGCACTGCCTGTGAGGAACCCTGGGGAACCTCTTCTAGTAACAATCCTTCGCCTCTCTGGAACCCATTGTCGCGAAAAGTGCAGACCTCCGCAGCCCAAAGCACCACCTCCGATCCGGCAGTTTCCCACTCCTTCATCGTGTCAACGTAAAGCAGCAGACGATCGTCGGCCCCAATATATGGCATCTCCTACCACTTGTCTGCAGGATCCTCTAACGCACGTCCGCCAGCTCCATTCTTGATCATAGAGTTCATCCAGATGACTTTCCGCATCTTGCACCGGATCTTGCAAAATCCTGACGTGACCATTCCGTAAGGCACCTTTGCCGAGGCTAGCGTAGTCTACACATCGAGGAGTGAGGCAGTATATGTGTATGTTGGCTCTGGCTGCCAAATGTTGCCGTTAACCCAGGCTGTTATCCCTCCATCGATCGCGGCCCACGACCAAGATGGCGCTCTGTAGCCGGCTGAAGCTGGAGGACGTGTAGCTGTCTCCCGAAAAGAAGTCTTCCAAAGCACCTGACGCAGAAAATATTCCTTCCAAAGACCTGCATGGTAACTAGTCACGGGCTGTGTGCGGACGTACTCCTCCGCCATGGCAGAGATTGCGGGAAGCTTGTCTGCGCCGTTGGTGAGAAATCTGTTCATGTAGGCTGCTACCATGTGTCCCCACCCCACGGGGTGACTATTTGCGCCATAGTTCTGATTACCGGGATCTAGATGGCGGACGATCTGACGGGCGGGATCACGGGCAAAGTGATCGTAGGTGTGGCCTGGGACACGGTACATTGCACGTTCGTAGCCCCCATCGCGGTGGATGCGCTCGAGGCAGCAGTACACCAATTCTCGGCGGCCATAGGCTAGAATTCGACTCGATAGTTGTGTTTCTTGGAAAGTCCAGCCCCTGGTAAAAAGGTTATAGTCGCCGAACTCCTCCGCTTTCGGTGCAAGAAGGACTTCGCCAAAGACATTGTCGTCGAACCTGGCTTTTACCTTTGTTGGTTGGTACTGGGATCTCGGTGCCAGGAAGCCGTCCGAGCTGGTAACTGCTTGGGCGGCAGCGATCGTAAAGGAAGCGCCGAGGTAGATGCGGTGCATCTGGGAGATCTGATCCTCAATGTCGTTCGGGTCATCCCGGACAATTGCCATCGCATCCACCCAGAGGTACCGGAGACCAACGCCAAGAGTGACGGCGAGAGCATCTTGAAGTGTCTGCGGGAGGGTATCGAATGGGATGTTCTTTTCATAGTCTGCGAGGATTTGCTTGATGGTCTTGGATTTTTGGTCGCCGCCCCAGCAGTAGCTGAGCGCTGCGTATGGAGCCAGAGGAGCATTTGTCACCAGACGAGCCCGGATGCCTTTGTCGGCGGCTGTCACCTCTATTAGTCGCTTTGGCATGAATGACTGGTGTTGAAATGTATTGCATCGTGTATGAGAAAGTCGGCACTCATCAAGCCAGCCGCGGACACGGCGGAAGCTCAGTTGGGAGTTGGGTAGCAGATTTGGAGGAAGTTCGTGTCCGAGGTAAGGGTGGGATGATTTCTCTCCTACTTTCTGGGTCAATCAGAGTGGCGTTTGGCAGGACATTGGGGATTACTGACTAGGAACAGGATACAGGACAAAATCCAAAAATTCGCCAGCCCTTCGACCTGGGGAAAAAACGCAGGCATCCTGCTGCATGGTGATTTGATATGGAATCCTGCCCTGGGCCATTCCAAAGTGCTCGTTATTAAGCCCCTTGGAAGGACCCCCATCTAGTCGTACAAGTGTCGCATAGAAGTTGCATCCATCTTCCGCAGCAGCGGTTGCCTGTTCAACATTGAGGTCCAGCTTCTTTTCGCTGGTCCTCCACCCCTTTTCTCCCGACCCTGTGCGATCCCGACGAGTGGTATGCGATGCTTGCTTTCTTCGGAGGTCCAGGAAAATACTTGAACAGTAGTGGCAAGAATGCACTGCTGTCTCTGGGCGGCTTTCAACCTCTTGCAAATGAAGTGTGGTCAGGGAGTCATCAAGGAGCTCTTCAGGCTGGGTAGGCGCGGGTGGCCAATAACCCAACTTGAATCGTTTCGGTGTATCGTCTTCTGAATCAGAATTGTCAGAGCTATACCACTCCCCTCGAGGGAGCTGGCGATTGGGGAGTCGGAAGTGACGCCATGGCTGCAATGGTTTGGATCAGCTGCTTTCTGATGTAACCTGGAATTGCAGGTGTAGCTCACAAATCGCCCATCATTCCGGATAAGGTCCCGTTCCCTGGCTCTTGATGCGCGATTTCCCTGATGAATTGTCTCAAGACTTATCATCGGAGCTGTCGTCATGGAGGTCTTCGATATCGGTATTGACCGCCATTTTAGTCGTTCAGGTGGATTGGGAAATGGGAAGTGAGGATTTCATTGTTTGTGGGGCTACATGCATGCCCAACATGCGGCGCAATTCCTGTTAGGCCATCGCCATTGGTCAACAACAGAGTAACAAAATCATCCTTTGACAGATGTCATCGCCAAGGAAAATCAGAGAACTATGTAAACTGGCAAGCATGACTCTTAATAAACAGCTTCTCCTATATCTTGATACTGCAGTAAGAGTTAGAATAATTTTAGGTAGGTACTGACTGGGTCTATTCCGAATCCTCCTCATCACTTAGTGGCGGGAACCGTGGCGGTCGGTCCTGCTTCCGTTTATAATGCGGTGCCTGGATGTAGTCCTCATTCTCAAACCACTCGACCCAATCCTTGCACTGAGTGTCGATTATAATCTCCTCAAATTCGCACGGGTAGCCCCAGATGACCTCGTGAAGCGCCTCGTGCCCGAATATGGGGTGTCGTCGGTGCGCATCATGCCGCAGTTTTCCGTACTGAAGCATCAGTTGTGGTACGATGCAGACCCCAAATTTAACCAGCTCAAAGTAGTCCTCGCACAGTGTGAATGCGAGTGTACTGCTGGAAAATCTCCCCGCCATGTCGCAATGATCCTCCCAGTCGAGCAGGGCATTTCGAACAGCACGATTTCGTATAAAGTTCTTGTGACGGATCTTATCGACCTGTGCCGTGATATCCAAGTCGTCGGCTTCGATGCGGTATGCAAGATCAGTTTCTATCTTGTTGTCTATCTTAGGTCAGTTCACAAGTCGAGATGAAGTTCCAAAGAATCGCATGGCATAACGTACAGAGAAAGACACCAGCAGTGGCATCGCTTCCGTCCATCTTAGCAAGGACTAGAGGAACGATCTTGGGTCCCAGGTATAGGAGCTCTTGGAATTGTGGAACACCGGACCACGTCGATGAACTGTGTCCGAGTTTCAGTATTAGTAAGATGCTTGTTACGCGTGCACTGAAAAGGAACGGTCGGCAGACTCTGATGAGGTCGATATGGCATTCCGCCAGGCGCTCCATTTCATCTCGAAATCGGCTTGGTATTTTGGAAACGCAGTTGCGAGTTTCCGGGCAAACTTGTGGATCCAATAATCGACAAGCCCGGTGGTATAGACACCTTCAGACATATTGGACGTCGATGGTGCTTCGTGTGTTGGAAGAAATCGCTCTGTGGTTAATCGCACTGATGGTGTGTTGGAAAACAACAACGGTAGAATCAATGCGGGGAGGGGGTTTTTAAGGTATTAAGATAAGCATGAACCTGATCAATTCATTAGAGGATGGCAGGCCTATTTCTGGGGTAGCAGTTGGCGGCCGACGGGTACGTGCAGGTGTTTCGATGACGATCCGACCTGCAGCTGACAGGTGTCGGTGCCGTGCTATTTGCAGGGCCTTTCTCACATCTTGTAATCTGATCAGCTTCAATGTAACTTTGCGGAGGGGGAATGAAGTATCCGGGCTGAACCTCATGCCGCACCGTTAATAACGATGCCCTAAAGGTCGAGCTGAGTATCACCAGGGATGGGACGTTCACCATCCACAAAGCTGCAGCAAGTTTATCAAACCAGCGAAGACTGATATAGTAACCCTGTGTTGAAGATCCTCAGCAGAACAGTAAGAACTGTGTAAGCATAACTGAATGCCAGCCAGTGCACTCAACCCCTCCTCCCCTCACCCCTCGTCTCATGCCCAGCAAACGTGACCTCCAAAATCTCCTCCCGCAACTCATCGTCATCGTCCAGCACAACCACCCCTGCCCCAGCATCCAGCAACCGTTTGATACCCTGATTATCCCTGATGAAAGTAGTCGGCTCCAGAATCCCCACATACACAACCTTGATAGCCCCGTTCAACTCAATGATTCGATCAGCACATGTTCTGTTGCCGCTCAGCCGCTCGTTGCACGGCTCCATCGTGGTATAGAGCACGGTATTCGGAGGGAGGACTTTGGCAATGTCAAAGCCATGAAGCCCGTGCTTGTCTGCAACTTTGATGAAGCAGCAGTGTTCAGCGTGTGTCGAGCCCGGATCGCCAGCGCGATCGCGG